CATCAAATTAATTCGATATAAACCCGTAGATGATAAATCGAACAACAACAAACATATGAAACATATGAGTGAACTGCGGTTATGAGACGTATATAAGAACGATCCTTCGCAGTAAAGCACTATTTGAGCAATAGTGGAAATCAGACCTGAAAAAAATTTCAGGCCTGTACGGGATTCGAACCACTGACCTCTGCGATACTAGTGCAGCGCTCTACCAATTGAGCTAACAAGCCAACTGGGAGCAGGTCATCAAATTAATTCGATATAAACCCGTAGATGATAAATCGAACAACAACAAACATATGAAACATATGAGTGAACTGCGGTTATGAGACGTATATAAGAACGATCCTTCGCAGTAAAGCACTATTTGAGCAATAGTGGAAATCAGACCTGAAAAAAATTTCAGGCCTGTACGGGATTCGAACCACTGACCTCTGCGATACTAGTGCAGCGCTCTACCAATTGAGCTAACAAGCCAACTGGGAGCAGGCCATCAAATTAATTCGATATAAACCCGTAGATGATAAATCGAACAACAACAAACATATGAAACATATGAGTGAACTGCGGTTATGAGACGTATATAAGAACGATCCTTCGCAGTAAAGCACTATTTGAGCAATAGTGGAAATCAGACCTGAAAAAAATTTCAGGCCTGTACGGGATTCGAACCACTGACCTCTGCGATACTAGTGCAGCGCTCTACCAATTGAGCTAACAAGCCAACTGGGAGCAGGCCATCAAATTAATTCGATATAAACCCGTAGATGATAAATCAAACAACAACAAACATATGAAACATATGTGTGAACTGCGGTTATGAGACGTATATGAGAACGATCCTTCGCAGTAAAGCACTATTTGAGCAATAGTGAAAATCAGACCTGAAAAAAATTTCAGGCCTGTACGGGATTCGAACCACTGACCTCTGCGATACTAGTGCAGCGCTCTACCAATTGAGCTAACAAGCCAACTGGGAGCAGGCCATCAAATTAATTCGATATAAACCCGTAGATGATAAATCAAACTAATTCTACAGTTAGGCTTGTAGGGATAATTAGTGTGTGAGAATCTTGTGGAAGAATCGTTACTCTTCTCTTTTTTAACAAGAGGAAAAGTGTCGAGCGGAAAGTTTAGTTGACACAAACAACTGATGAAGATGATAACAGTTTTCTGTAGAAGTGAAGCAGAACTTAACAAGGAGAACAAAAAAATACATGGAATTCAACCAAGTTTAAAAGAACAATTATGAAAAAGGCATGTGAGTAACTTACATGAAATTCAGACCTTACCTAAAGCCAAAGGAATTCGCAGCAACGAGGCAAAGAAAGCTAGTTGGAGATATGGATGCATCTTAACCATGACCTGTTTGAGTCAAGTCGAACCACCAAAAACCTTTTTTGTGAGATGCAGCTTGAAAATTGAGCGCACTTTTTGCGTTTCTTTTGTGATACGGCACAGCACCAAGTGAGGAAATCACTTCCCTATTCCTAGATGCCGATGTGAAAACCACATTGGTGGCTTCTAAGGAAATAAAAATAGAGATACCGAAGTGATCTTTATACTCTGCACACAATAAACCTGTCTTTATCAATTTATGTTTATCTCACCTGTGCGCCATCTTTTAATGAGCTTATTCATATTTTTTACGCCTGAAGATTAGCTTTGATTGGACAAGATCTTTTCTCGTTTCTTTAGATGCTGTTCGCTTGCATTGCAAAATCCAAAGTTTATACCCTGTAATTATAGGTCTACCGAAAAAAAGGAAAAAACAGTTCGCTACCTGTGTTGTGTCCACAATTTTAAGGAGGTGATTACCAATCAGGCATCCTGTTTTACGCAGTGTTAAGAATGGGGAGGAGGTCTGGTCAAAGAGCAAGACAGAAAGTTTGCTGGTCTGAAACTGAAGGCGTACATGACAAACACTTGTGACAAGAAAATGATTTATCTTTCAAAGTTACCAAACCCAAGGCCACGAATTTGATTACGCTTTTATTATTAAACTAGCCTTTTCGCAACTAACCTTCACGCCATCACTTTTGCTTACGTCATTCATAAAGTCAATCCACACAGATACATAATTGAAAACAACAAACAAACAAAACTAGATATTGTAACCGTTTTAAAACACCGCAGACGTTTGCCGGATCATGATTTTGATCGCCGTCCTTGCAATGGACTCTTCTAACAAACATGCGAAGAGAAAGAGTACACAGACTGCCATTACTTTAGAATGATCGCGAAGAAATAAAGTCAAGTTTTAAAATTGACATCGCAACAGAAGAAGTTTCGATCCTGACTGGATTTTAAGTTTCTTTTATGTCACATGGCAAAATCAACTAGATTAAAGAGGATTATGATATATAAAAAAAATCAAAGTGTTTTTTTGTGGGTTAGGGTCATTTTGGTTAGATCATCATGTTATCTTGCATCGTGTATTTTCACGAAGAGGCCACAAGTTTTCTCGAAAAGTTACAGAATTCGTTTAGTGTTTGGTTTATGTATAAGGTAAGGAATATTTGTTACTCGTTATTGAAGCCATATCTCTTAAATTTATGTAAATGAACTAAGCATTTTTAAAAAAAAATTACGAACAACGATCAAAAGTCTTACTGTAAAACTAATGCAAGTGGCTCAAAATGTTACTGATATTGTATGAGGTTTCAACAAAGGCTTAATGTTTGTGCATTTGTAATAGCGCGACATCAAAGTTACCCCGACTTATGTCCTTCTAAAGCTTAGCTTGTGGTGAATGTGATCTATGTGCAAGGGTTGCCTGTCTTTACTTATATAAAGACGGACTATGAACATGTTTCTCTAGGAATAAATTGGAGTTAAAGTTGCAACGGTGTCATATTAAGAAGGGGGCATTGGGACTTTCACTTTTGGCTATTTTGTAAGACCTGCTCTTCGGTTTTGTGCCAAAAACTTCGGTTTTTCGGTTTTGGTCTTCATTGCATTTTGTGGATTTTCCGTTTTTTAGCATTTGGGTTGCGATTTGGTATCCGATAAGGTTTTTGGTGTTTCCTATTTGGGTTCCGGTTTCTCTTCGATCTGAGGGGCAATTTATGATGCGCCTCTGCTGATCTCGAATAGCTGCGAAACCCTCTGTATGTCACACTTCTCACCATTGTATCTGATCGATTAGATTTTTGATGACTGGGATGCAAAAATTTATCGGTTTTGACGGTTTTGCAGGTTTTGCATGCGGTTTTCGGTTTTGATCGATTTTTTACGGTTTAGCGGTTTTGGATAAGTTTTTTTTTCAACTGTTTAGCGGTTTCTTATAGACCCCATTAAAAAGCTTATTGCCCAGAAAAGCGGAATGTAATCCCTGTTCTGTTTCTTTATAGGTATATTTTGACAACTTGGCATCTTTATGAGGATAAATGAACTTATCAACTGCATCTTGGAATCACCTTTTTCTTGATTTCTTTTATGCACCAGTAGAAAGTTCTGATAACTGCAATTTCAAATCAAATTAATTAGCAAGATAGTCATACATTTAATAAAATCCCATTATTTCGATCAGTCTCCATGCAGCGAAGCATGTTACCTTTTAATTATTGTACCATTGTACCGGTGTCGCCAGGTCATTAGGGTGAATCCTGTTCGGGCCTGAACGAAGTTATTTTTATTTTGACAACTACTGGCAGTATTTGAGCTGTGCATAAATCAAAATATTATTAGCAATAATGGAAAACAATATGAGAATGATCTGTTAAGCTCCAATAACAATACGCATAATCCACCATTAAGTACCGATTGCCTTGCTAGGTAAAGTGATGCCGGCGGTAATCTCTGTATTCTATTGAGCCATTGTCGAGTCATAGCGGTAAGCAAAACACATCATTTCTTTTACAGGTTTTCTTTGTCTCCGGCCAGTAAGAAAACAAACATTTCATTTCTAAAGAAAAGGCCAATTGAAAGGAGAGACGTCACACATCTGTCACGTGGGTGGGGCACTGTAAATTTCAAGTTCCCCTTTGAGGAATGAAACCTCAAACCCTCTGTGTGTTCTTGGGAGGGCTAAATTTGAGTAACGACAAAGCTACATGTAGCATTAATCCAAAACACTTATACATACTCTTGACCTACTTTGCTGTCGTTTTAAAATACATATTTAAAATTAGACATTGTCTACAAAGCTCGTTTTGTTGTCACTCACTTCGATTTCTTTCGCAGAGAAAAGCAAATGTGCTGATGCCACGATTTCGCCTGTTTCTAATAAAGTATACATGGGTACATCGTCATGGTGACTGCTTCTTTGCAAGCGAAGTGTTGAAAAGACTGATTACAAAATTGGGCGGAAGGTGTTCAAGAACTTGTAACAACGAATACAATTACGTAATAACTTTTGTTGTTGTCGCAACAAAAACTCTCCTTGTCAAATAATCTTGTCCGCAAGGAATAGTCATTGTATAGTGTTAAAGTTCAGTAGCAGAGTGCTTTAAAAAACCGTTCCGAAGGATTTTAAGATTAGTTTATGTTTAGAGCCGTTCCGAAGGATCTCGGTATTAGATTAGTGTTTTGCAGTGTTTCATCCGACCACGAAGCATATTTTATCCTTTGAAAACATAACTGTAGCTGCAATCTCTAAACAAATCTCCCCCAGATCACAATTGAGAAAAAGAAGGAACTAAAAAAATGGACAATGAACCATTATTTTCTTTACTTAATCTTTATTGTTATCGTTTTATCACGACAAGAAGTCTATCAGATGGAATCCAAAAACAAATTGTCGCGAAATATCGAACCTTCGTAAGAAATGTTTTAACTCCCAATTGTATTATAATCCCCAGAATTCCCCCTTCTTGGTCCTGCCGTGTAAGCTCAGCATCTGGGTAAAGAAAATGGAAAAATGGTCCACAAAGTGTCCAACACAATAACATATCAAATTAAAAAGAGAATCGACCATTTACTAAAGATGCCATTGAAATTGAAATATAAAAAAATTAAAATTGAAAGCTGAGTGTATCGAAGTCTTCTAAATTAAACATAAATCGAATCTGGAGAGGCGACCTTCCGACTCAATGCAGTCTATCACTGGGATCAAGTTATGCCCTCGACTTTCAGGAGAATTCTAGCAGCAGAATTCTAGACAGGTAATGTTGCGGAAATTACTTATAAAAAAAAACTGGGCTCTGACTTAATACAAAACCAAATTCTCAGCAATAGGCGGTAAAAGAAAGGTATGGTGTTCTTTGGGAGAATCAACTTTCAGATGTAAAGGGTGAACGAGTTTATAATTTGTGTCCCAGATATCTCAAAACCACAAGTAAGTCTCGAACAATTTTACCCTAGATTTTCAGTGAGATGTCAAAATATTCACAGCTTACCTTTTTTAATCAGGTTGTTGGTGTTGGAGGAGGTTTAGTAGTTGGACCTATAAAATGAAACAAACTTTTATTGACCTATATATGGAAATGAGATGTCGAAAGTAGAAGGCGAAACAAATTACATGTTTCTTCAGTCGACGAGCAAGCTGCGACCTTATTCGAAAATCAAAATCAAAATCCCATCTTCTCTCCAACGAGAAACGCAAAATGGAAACAAGAAGGGGCAGATCGGAGCGAAGTTTAAGATCATAAAACCTCCAGGGACACTCTCAAAAGTCGCCCTTATGGGTCCTTATGAAATAAATTTTGCGAAAGTTATTCACCGCATTCACTTTCACAGTTTTTCCTTCCACCTCATCGACTTTTTAAACCGAGAAAAAGAATGTCCCAAACAGTTTTTCGAAGATTGTAGAAAGCATTTGTCTACAGGACTAACTAACGTATACCAACCACAATCACCCCACCGGGTGTTCTCGATTATCTTACTCTCCCTCTCCTCCCCTATTCTTACATAACGGAGTATTTCTTGTCTCCTCCTGAATTTCGTCACCAAAGCACTCCAAAGGTAGTCCGTCGCAGCTCGGCTTGAAAATTTCGATTTCTTCGATCACCTGTAGGCGGCGCCTGTACGCACTGCCACAAGATGCTGACCAAGAACTCCAGGGGTTGTAACTGCATTCCACCGTGTAGCACAATTCACCTTGTAAAGCAAGCAATCCACCATGATAAGAACATTTGTACAGAATTATCAGTGATTGATATGTCACACAACGTCAGTCAATAATATCACGCAATATTTGTCAAAGTCGCGTCACGCAATATAAGAAACCCATAGTCACGGCCCTCATAAAACGACCTCTTATTCAATGCCATTTGCAGTCCGTTTAATCTTCGCCATCGTTGGCACTTTTTTCGTTCTTGTTGTCCTAGTTGAATGACCTTCCTACTACTTACAGTCTGGGAGTTTGTTGTTCTCAGTTTCTGGCAGCTGAGTGCATTTGGTAGGAACGACATCGCAAGACTCTGCTTGAACAGTTGTTTGTGTTTCCACAATATGTCGTGTTCTGTTCACTAAGCCGCATTCTCCAGACCACTGGCCCCAACTTCCCCACGTGCATGTTACTGACTGGCACGTGCACATGGTCTTTCTAGTTTCAGTCTCAGGTCCGCTCGGACACGATTCAGGCAGACCATCGCAGTTTTTCTGTTGCACTACAATCTACGAGTGAAGGGGAAAAAATGCTTCGTTTGCGTGCATGCATAATTGGCAAGCCCTGAAGTTACGATAGCTATAAAGTGGCCACTTCCTTTTTGTGTCTTCGTGGACTAGGACTTCATTTCCAACAACAAACAGAAAACAAAAGGTTTATTGGATAGCCCTAAGATTAAAACAGAATTTCTCATTTGTGAAATTGAATTTCACAAATGAGAAATTGTGAAAGAGATGCCAGCAGTCTCAGACGGTCGTGATAAGACTAGCTTGCCCCCTCTTTTAGCCGACAGAAACACAAGAGTAGTAAAATCTTGCTCGCTCAGGGAGCTAACCGTTCAAAAAGTAAAATTAGCAACAGTTCGGTTGCGGGGTACCAGCCAGAACCACATTATCGAGGGAATAAAAAATCACACCACTGAATCAGATCCGAAGAGAACGGACCACATTTTCAGTACCTTCGAACTGTTTATGTCGGGTTACATCAAAGGAATACAAGAGGTGAGGTTATCTTCCAAACCTGTTCGGTAGTAATGGATCTCTTTCGTGTTGCAAATCCACACGTTGCAGACCAAGCCTCCCACTCGCCACGTTTACAGTTGACAGTACTACAATTACATTTAATTTCTCGTGCTTCGTTTTCTGGCGGTTGTGGACAGGTTTGTGGAAGACCGCTGCAATCAGGCTTGAACACCTCTATCGCCGTCTCTACAGAGGTTGAGAAAGGACGTCATGTCTTGAGTTACTGAGTACACAGTTTTTATTTCTATCATTTACAATCTTCTTTCTGCTCAATAATGTCATTTTTTGGTTTCCTCTTAAACCTGAAGAATTCGCGGCGACTATCTCGGAGAACTATGGCTTTAAGACATTTTACTGTCCTAAAGCTGGTTCCTACATCATCAAAGAGACCCAAAATATGGTGAACTGTCATCCATTTTGAAGCCATTAAACAGATGCGTCTTCCAATATAGCCTCTCAAGAATTGCTGTAACGAAGTAAAATCTATTTTTTATAGATTACCTTCAATAGATCTTGTTCTTGTTCCTTCACCGCAAGTAGTGGACCATGAAGACCACAGAGCCCATTCACAGTTTACTGTTTTACATTTACAGTTTGTTGTTTGTTGCTCTGTTTGTGGAGGCTGTGGGCAGGACTGAGGCAGACCTTCACACTTTAACTTTTGTACGGTGGTCTAAATAGACAAAAAGGAGATCACATCTTTTTCCAGCGAGCTCAACATGCTTTGGTCACTTTGTTGCCTGAGGACTGTTTTTGAAATAGTTAAACTATTGAATATTTAGGTACAAAAAAAAAAACAGAATACTACAAATCAGTAGAAGAAGGAAAGGTTCTTCACAAGAAGGCAGTATCGAATCGATGATAACCTTTCTACCTTTTCATATCCCCCACAATACAAGACTTGCAATGCCTTAAACTTCATTGCCTAACGATCCCGAAAAACATCTTGCTCTCTAGCTGCCTCGAGACAAAGAGATCACAATCATTAGACTCCAAAACTAGAAGCCCCATTCCCGCCTCCTTCAATAACCGGGTTATAGAACCATGCATCGGCTTCCTAAGTTCCCTCGGATATAAACACACTAAAACCCCATGCCACTTTATACAAACTATGTGGCGTAAAAGAGGAATTTAAATTTACTACTTGGGGCCAATAGCTACACTTTCAGATTCGTTTGCAGACCATCGGTCATGGGTAAAACGTCGGGAGGGAAGACTTTGCTCCACGCTCATGATAGAGGACATAAAATAGCTTAAGAGATTTACAATGAAGATGGGAAAACCAAATAAGTAAAGGAGTAAATTGAAACCTTGATAGTCTCTATAGTCCTTGTCCTTGAGGCTAAGCCGCATGTTGCTGACCAAGTACTCCACTGCTTCCATTCACATTTCACTGATGGGCAATTACATTTTAGCTCACGAGCTTCAGACTCTGGTGGCTCAGGACAAGTCTGAGGAAGACCGCTACAATCAGGCCTAAACACTTCTACTGCAGTTTCTAGATTTTGAGACAAAAAAGAAAAAAAATGACGTCAAATAATACAACAAACTGCCAAGAGTGTCAGGATAAACTGTAAAATGCAAATGCAGCGGGTGTTAAATTTCGATTGATTCCATCAAGAGAGAATTAATAATACCGCTAATTTGCAATACTTTATACCGCTTTCATGACTCTCAAAAACGAGACTATTGCTAATGAGAGGAGAGGCCCAAACAAAATTAATCCAACAATCTCTATAACGAAGTAAATATATTCTATGGATTACCTTCAATATTTCTTGTCCTTGTTCCAACTCCACATGTCGTGGACCATGAAGACCACAAAGCCCATTCACAGTTGACTGTTTTACATTTACAGTTTGTTGTTTGTTGTTCTGTTTGTGGAGGCTGGGGACAGGACTGAGGCAGACCTTCACACTTCAACTTTTGTACTGTGGTCTAGGAAAGTAGACATAAACTCGTTGTTTACTTTCGGAGACCTGACCGAATCTCGTAAATCTTAAACTATATTACAAAAACCTAGGTGGTTCGTTAAGCAGTCTAGTCCCATGCGGAAAATTTTATCCATCTCAGAGCCAGCCTTATTCAATATCCACAATAATTACACTTGCAAAGTATCTCACGCTAATCTATGGACTGATCCAGTAACCTTATTCCCGTGGCCCCAACTTTGAAAAATCCCCTTACTTTGTAGATCTCCTCAATCGGTCATTTCCGGTCAATTTCATATACTGCTTACGTTGAAAAGACAAGTACAAAAAAGAAAAAGATAACAAATTATCGAGTAAGACTTGAAAAGCGTTTGATCAAGAAAATATTAGGTCATCGTCCTCGCTCTTCCGTGCGCCAATTCAATGCCTGCTATGCAGAGAACACTTTTAGTTTTATCTAAACCTTTATAGTTTTAATTGATCTTGACCGAGTGGCTGCTCCACATGTAGCAGACCACTGACTCCATAGATTCCACTCGCAGTTCACTGTAGGGCAGGTGCATTTCACTTCACGTGAAACGGTCTGAGGTTTCTCAGTGCACTTCTGTGGGAGATCATCACAGCTGGGCTTGTTGACTGTGATTACAGTCTCTGAAAGTGAAGTGTAAACCGAGATTAAAAGGTCATAATGTTAAAGGATTTACAGGGGAGTGATTTATCAGGAAAAAATTATAATCCCAGACCCTGGACATTTGCAAGTGACTTGTTAGAGGACCTTTTATCATTTGCATTTCTAGCCAGTCGGAAACGAGAAATACATTATCAGACGGTAGGAGAAGTGAGATTAGGAAATAACGAGCTCCAGCCCTGTAAGAATTAGACTAGGATCAGTAGATGACTGTATCAGGTCAACCTCGTTCCCAGGGCCTTTTCCCTTAGTTGGGGGTGGAGTTGGGGGAGGGAAAAGGGAAAAGGCCCTGGGAACGAGGTTGTATATCAGGTATGTCAGTTTAGGGTCTTGCAACCAAATCAAGTTATAACAAAAGGATATAACCTGGGTTATACGCTTCTGGCTATAACCAATCAAGCCGATAACCCTTTCACAAAGGCGTGCAAAAACAAACACAAAAAAAAAAAAATGATAAAGCACTTCGAGTTGCTTTTCTCAAGTGGACTTTGTTGAGTTGTTGAGAGGCTCCAAATTGTTTTCATCTGTACAAGTAAAACTTCATAGGGTTAAAAACAAGCACAGGTACTACTAAATTAGTATGTGTAATCAAATGGTTTTTTCGTGAAATTAGGAAATAATTTCACGCGTGTTTTGTTACTCCTTCTGATAATTTTCCTCGCCTAAAGGCTCGGGAAATTATCAGAATTTTGACAAAACGAGCGTGAAATTATTTCCTAATTTCACGAGAAAACCATTTGATTACCCTTTAATATCGTGGGTGACAAATTATCCAGGTTCGTAATCGGATCCGTCTTGTTTACAGACGGAGGCGTAAAATGGCTCGTGTACTTTATCCAACTGCTCGGGAAGAATCATCTCCAGGTTTTTCTCAAGGCTATTTTCGTCACACCACTTCTCAAAAACTCGCAGCCAGGTAATTGTGCTCTTTCGCGTATTTAAATTTTGGGCCGCTTTATTTAATTTCGTAACTTCTTCAAGGGTCACCGTCTTAAATCTCGACGCCATCTTGGCTCTGATCGAGATACAAGAGATGTTACCATGGCAAATTTGTAATTTCACATGTGAAATTAAAAGTTAACGCTGAAATTTCGCGCCAAAATTAAGGAGTAATTTGTCACCTATGATATTAGCGTTTGTAATCTTTCATCTGATTCAAAGGCTTCAGTACCTTTGATATTACGTGTGCGCGCTCCAAATTTTTTTCATTCTGGTACAAGTAAAAATTCATTTCGTTAAAAACAAGCACAGGTACTAGGAAATTAGCGTTCGTAATCTTTCTTCTGATTCAAAGATTCAGTACCGTTGATATCACGTGTGCGCGTTCCGTTACCACAGCTTGTAGACCAGGAGGACCACTCATCCCAATCACAAGTGACGGTGCGACATGCGCAATCCTTTGTCCTGTGCTCACTCTCTGGGGGCTGGGGACAAGACTGTGGCAAACCATCACACCTCTCTTTTTGCACTGTTATCTGCGATGTTCTGGTATATTTAAATAATGAGATGTTCAGTAAATAGACAACTAATTGCTGTAACATACAGCTTTGATCACCACGCATGTAACAGGATCGTGAGTAAGCTGCATTTAAAATAGAAAATTTTCCACCCTAAATTTTCTTTGGCAGTAAAGACGGAAAAATAAAGCAATTTATTTATTCTCTCTAACATGTCCCTCTTGTCCGTAAACTGACACGGTAGCTTAGAAAAAGGAGGGTTGTCTAGATAAAACATGTCGAAGATGCAATTTCCTGGTGTATGTGTTAGTGACCTTAAGGCCAAAGAAAGACACTTGCAACACTTTTGAGTGAAAGTGTACTCCGGCAAGATATGGTTGGTAAATGTCGAACAACTTCACCCTTACGAGGGCACTCACCACGTACCTTCCCCCCGACGAAGGCTGAACGCTCGAAATGTAAGGCTTTTCAAACTTCGCCGCAGCGCTCTATCTTCCTTTAAAAACTAATGGTTGATAACCAGCGAAGAATATCACTTCCCCAGAAGTTTAATAAGAGAGTAACAACCGATAATAAATACGGTATACTCACTGAATTGTTCTTGTACGCTTAGCAACACCACAACTGGCCGACCACTCACTCCACTTGCTCCAGTCACACTGTACTGTCTGACACGTACACATGGTCTTTCTCGTTTCTTTTTCAGGCAGTTCGTTGCAAGCCTGTGGAAGACCAGAGCAGTTATTCCGAGAGACTATAATTTCAGCGGTCTGGATGGACCGTGTTCTCTCAGCCAACCCACAAGTCGCTGACCAATCAGTCCATGGTTTCCAAGTACATTTGACCGACTTGCAAGGACCTGAGAGCATAGAAACGGATGACTCACGGAATAACGATAATATTTCTAAGATGACAAAAATCCTTGTGCACCGGGGGACAAACGACGGAAAATAACACATGCTCCCACTTATAAAAGGTTCAAAATCTTATCTACACTGGCCTATGAATGCAAAACCATCATTTTAACGTGTGAAAATTCAACCATGGAAGATTAAAATAAGGATACACTTGAAACACTGTACTATGGCAGATGGATTAGTTTTTATAAGGAATAGTGCAAGCCATTTGGATTTTAGAGTGGCAATTTTTACGTTCATCTCAGTTTGAAAGCAGGAGATAACTCTGTTCTTTGGAAGAGCGGAAGTGAGAGGACTTTAACCGAGGCTAAGGTGAACAGTAATGTCTCATTCGCTTATAACAAAACAGCGAGCGATAAAAGAAATTATTACACGACTCGGGCAGTCAGAGGGCCAATAACTAAAATCAACCAATCAAAATGCTCTATTGTCGGTCCAATATTCTCTAAGTATTGGATCGGGCACTGTCCCGAATGGTCCCGAATGATACCGCACCTGTGTCCCTTTAAACTTCAGTCGTATAATAAGTCTCTTCTTAACCAAGCTTGCACGGGACCGTACTGGAAGAATATCGGCCCTCGGTCTTTTTTGTAGGGACCTCGCTGCGCTCGGTCCGTACTGTCAAGACCTCCGGCCGATATTCTCCCAGTACGGCCCTCGCGCTTGGTTAATAAGAAATATGTAATGAGACGTAAGGATATTTCAGAGATAATCAATTACCCTCTTCTAAACGCAGAAAAGTGAAGCCTTTCATATCAACCTTGCTATTCGATCTAATGTAAATAAACCTCATTTTGCCAAACATCTCTTTGAAAGGTAGAGTTTTTGAAACCGAGAAAATTTCCCTTTCGGGTTTACCTCTTCCCTCATGCTCGAGGTAAATCTGGATGTTTTTCCTTCGTGTGAAAATGTTTCTTTGCTCACATGAAAATGCATCCATTTGATGTGAATTGTTGTGCACCAATTCTCGTTTTGATAAAAAAGCTTTGGCGATATAAATATGGGTTATTTTAGTCTTTTTCGGTTGCAAGTTTTCGTAATATTCAGTGATCACACTCACATTTAGTTATTCTCTTTTCACGTTCGGCTCTTGGACATGATTTCTGCAGTCCTTCACAGGATGTCTTGTTTATCACGTGCTGCGTTACTATGGGTATCCTCGTTCTGATACTGACACCGCAAGTGGCAGACCACTCGGTCCAAGGATTCCACGAACACGTGACGTACCTACACTGACCTAACAACACCAAAAGGTCGCAATGAAGACGCAGCTATTGATGTTATTCAAAGGAATGTTAGATACATGAACTTTCTTAAGTTAATTGAGAAGGGGAGGAAAAAAATAACTTCGTCAGAAATTGAGGTCTATAGCGTAACAGTCAAAGCATCCTGAAAGACAAGGTGAGTGCCGAAAAAAAAAACAGACTAACAGTAGCTAACCAGAAGACAGTCGGAGAGGAAGTCGCACCAAAAATGAAAGAACGAGACCGGCGGGCAGGAAGAAAAAGATAAGTAAAAAATGGGAAAAACGCACAAAGCCAGATGAACTGTCAAAAAGAGAGGTAAAGAGACAGGCAAACAGATGGAAACATCTAGACACAAACAGACAGAAAGACAGACAGAAAGACACACAGGTAGACAGATAGACAAAGAGACAGACAGACAGACAAAGAGACAAAGAGACGAAGAGACAGACAGAGAGACAGACGGACAAACACAGACAGGAAGACACTCAGGTAGACAGGTAGACAAAGAGACTGACAGACAGACAGACAAAGATACAGACAGACAGACACAGACAGGAAGACACTCAGGTAGACAGGTAGACAAAGAGACAGACAGACAAAGAGACAGACAGACATACAGACACAGACAGGAAGACACTCAGGTAGACAGGTAGACAAAGAGACAGACAGACAAAGAGACAGACAGACATACAGACACAGACAGAAAGACACTCAGGTAGACAGGTAGACAAAGAGACAGACAGATAGACAAAGAGACAGACAGACGGACAGACAGACAGACAAAGAGACAGACAGACAGACACAGACAGGAAGACACTCAGGTAGACAGGTAGACGAAGAGACAGACAGATGAAGAGATAGACAGACAAAGAGACAGACAGACAAAGAGACAGACAGACAAAGAGACGGGCAGACAACGAGACGGACAGACAGACACAGACAGGAAGACACTCAGGTAGACAGGTAGACAAGGAGACAGACAGATAAATAGACAGGAAGACAAGCAGTTAGACTGGTAGACAAGGAGACAAGCAGACAGAAAGACTGACAGACAGCACGACAAACAGGACGACAAGAAGACCGAGAGAGACAGACAGACAAACAGACAAAAGTAATCCTAGACACCGTTACACTTACAATCCATGTCCTTAGTTTCTACTTTCTCCTTTTCACAGGTTGTTGTTAGACCAGAGCATCCTCCCTGCTGCTCTATAACGTGTTCGTTTACTTTGGTCAATGTTTTCCTTCTTTTCATTCCCTTACCACACGAGATAGACCATTCAGACCAAGCGCTGTAGTCACAAGTCACATATTTACACTTGAAGGCTAAAGAGAAACACGAAGAAAATTTTTGTTTGTTGTGAATTTGATAATCGTCATTTATTGCTGGTGCCATAGCTCATACCAAAAGTATTAGATGCTATCAAATACGATTGAACTTCTGTAAGAAGAGACCCTCGTTACTCGTGGAATTGGCAGGTTTTGGGGCTCGTTTTCGGAAATTCGGGAGTTCGTTACTTTATGAGAAAAAATAAAAGGAAATTTTTGTGAGCATTTGATAAACGTCTGAGACGAAGATCCTTCGTTCCAATTTTATATCGCACCCACATGGGTTAGCACTTCTTTTCTAAATTGTTTTATCAGTGGATAGCACAAGGCTTTTGGGTTTCTTGGCACTGATTTCACATAGACAAGGAGTCTGCTTTAACGTTACACAACTCTGGAGTACTTCTGTTTTAACGCTACTTCCACAATAACCAATTCTCTACCACACAATCTCAGACTCACCGCGCCATAAGAAAAACCATATCAAACCTTACCTTGACAAGACGACTGTGCCAAGGTATGAAGTAAGTTAGGCAACTCCGCCATATTGCGAACATAAAACACATGAGAATTCTTAGGCTCTGATGCCATAAACTCCAGTTCGCTCTTAATCAGATTGTTTCCAACTCCCACTGAGAATATGTTCACTCTCAGGTCTACGAGATCCTTGACTGGAGTTCTGAGAGATTTAATACCACCAGTGCTAGCTCCATCTGTGATCACCAGTAACATCTAAGGTAAATAATCATTGAAGAAACAATCAAAGGCAGTGTTATTACGTAAAAGGCACATAGAGCGATATCTTTGTAAATAGCCACGGGACGGAATGGGTAAATTTTCAAAGGAATAAAGTAGTTTCCCACTAAGATTTTGTAAATCTAGGACCAAAGCTATCACAACATAACAGTACAAAGACTGAAAATTTAAAGAAAAAACACACAAGCGACTAAGAGGTGATTGGTACAAGGTATTTTTGTATCTGTTCAGTTGAAAGAGGAAGCAAAGGTTCTATTCCGTTCAAATGTCGCTTTACGTTCAAAACTCAATTGAAAACTGTAGCATTTATTGCACATTCACCTTTGTTACTCCTGGTCTTGCTCCATTTGAACTCTTAAACAGGTCTGCCTTAGCTAGGGTTAGTGCTTTACCAGTATAGGTCCAACCACCTTCAAGGTCAAGAAAACTTTGTTACAGAGCTTTTATGTTATTACTTATACTAATTCTGATTGCTCTGATTGTAATAGACCAAGTCGCTTTATGGCTAAAACGTTAACAACCAAATATTAAGTGTTGACATATCTCTATAGCCACAAAGATCTTATGCATGTATATAATTTCTGACAAACTCAAGTCAGCTATTGGAGAATATATGGTGTAAAGATGAACAGTACGACTGGCACTGAAGAGAATTACCGCAATCAAAACCGACATTGTTGGGGAAAAAGCACTTCAAAGAAAGCGTTAAAAAGTTCCTATCTGACATTTCCCTGACATATTTCTGCTGAGTATATGAATGGTGTCTAAGCGCCTTGATTACATCTCACCTTCCTGACGGATTTTTCCTGCAGCTGCCATAAAAGATGCTTTCGTTTCATGCTGTTTCAGTTTGATCTCAACGTTCGCACGGGTAGAAAATTTTATAACTCCCATTTGAATCCCGTTCGGACCGAAATTAGAGAAACCATTTGCCAAAGCAGCTATGAAATCTTTTTCTCGAATGAAATCACCGGGTGATATACTACCAGACTCATCCATGAGAACTCCCAGTTCGACTTTACAGCCTGAAGTTTAGAGGCATAGACGTAAGTATACAAGTAGCATATGCGGTTTTGTCTAAGGAAGAGGCTGTCATAACGACCAAAAAAAGTAGTAACAATAGATAGTAAAGGGTATGCTTGTCCGCTGACTTTCTTATAAGCAGAGAAGTAGTCCTTGACCGAATAAAACAGCAGAGGTTTTACTTACAGATGGAGAAAAATAATTGACAAACAGGTGGCAGGCAAGTATAAAGAAACTTGTTGAGAGACAGACAGACAGAAAGTGTCAAATCTGAATGGAGAGAGATTTGAAAACCACTGCGGCATTTGATTGAAAAAAAAAATGAAGAGCAAATATCTCATTAAGGGTATTTGTTCTTTTAAGCCTTCATAAAGCACCCAATATAATGAAATAAAAGTAGCTATAGACTCAAACCCATGAGGTGTTTGCTTTTAGACATTTCATCTACCTTGTAATACACTGTACAAATAGAGAGGTAAAAGTGACACTCACATGACATGAACGTGGACTCTGTCTGAGGGGCTGGGCACGATGTCTGTAAGCCATTACAGTTTGGTCTGTTGACTACGTGTTGCGTTACTTTACTGGTACGCTGTCGAGTAATACGACCGCAACTACCAGACCAGCTTCCCCATGAATTCCAAGAGCACGTCACGTATTTACATGGACCTGATATGTGACGAAATGTAATATTTTCGTTAATTACGGCGGTGTTCTGAGAGAGGCAACCTCAATTGCTTTCCGAATAAGTAGCTTAAACCGAAGGACCTGCAAACATTGGACGGCAGACAAAAAGACAGCATAAAATTCAGCAGCATACCAATTCAGCTATTTTGTGAATCTTGTTTCGGAAAGGGTTTCCTTGATGCAACACTTACATATGCTATCCTTAGTTTCCACTTTCTGCCTATTGCAAGTTGTTGGAAGACCAGAGCACCCTCCCTGTTGTTCAGTGATATGCTTGGTCACTTTTGTCAGCGTTCTCTTCCTGGTCATTCCTTTGCCACACGTGGTGGACCACGTGCTCCACACGCTGTAGTCCCATTTCACGTACTCACACTTGTATTCTGAAAATGAGAAACCGTGCTTGTTAAGGCTACTCTCAGTGATAACAGCTTATAGAACAACACACCCACAAATATCTATCAGACCTAATAGCTTTACGTTTAATTCAGATGCATAAGCACAGAAAGCTGTGCAGTATTTTGTAAGAAACCCATAAAAATCGGTACCTAAGGTATCTTAACAGCGCAGGTAACTGCACACAAAGTGGCCTCCGAGTTATCTTCTCGGATTTCTGGTTAAAATTTCCGACAATTCATCCCACGTAAAATAAGTGCTCCCCATCTCCTTTTCTCTTTTCCCCCGGGCCAGTGCTATCCCTCCCCTTACAGCCTCCCTCCCCAGGCCAGTGCTTTCCTCTAGTTCCCACCTTCCCTAGGTTAGTGCTACCCAAGCTTCTACCTTAACTCTCAAATTTTTCACGTATTCCTTACATCGTATGGAAACTTAGTGCATATGATTGCTTTCTATACTTACTTTTGCAGGCTGATTCACCAAGTGCCGTCAACAGAGTGTGTAGTTCTTGCATATCAGCCACATAAAATACATGCTCGTTGACCGGACCAGTGGCCATCAGCTCTAGTTCCTGTTTATTAATGTTCTGTCCAATTCCAATGGCGAATATATTAACGTAACTTTCTTTGAGATTTTGGAGAGGAACTTTAAGCGATCCAGCTCCACTTGTGCTGGCACCATCGGTCAATACGATTAATATCTGTAGAGAGGACAAAAATATATCTCTTTCGATGAGACATGTAAGTCAAGAGTCGTTATTTTCTCAGAATATTAAGGACTTTCCGAGAGCCCGATTCGAATAGCCAGAGACCTTTTCGTGGCCGTTTATCTTCCACTCAGAAAGCCAAACTTCCTCAAACACACGTTTCGATAACAAAGGAATGTGTTCCCTTAATTCATACTTAACGGATCACACTAAGGTAGATGTTATCGATTTGAAACTTTTTCTGTAGCCTGCTTGGCACTAATTATTATTGCCAGACCGCTTGCAGACATCTTGCACACTCAAGGCCTAAAACTCTTCGTGGGTAAAGATACGCGCATGTCACAAAGTGCTAACAGTGAGGGCCTGCTCGCAGACTACTTCTCTTCCGCAGCCGTTTTTGGCCTCGACACGTTTTGGTTGGTAAAGGAGACTGGATTCTACGCAGTGCAACTGAGATTGCGTGACTCATCTTCATGGTTGGAAACGGTTGAAACGTCCTTTCTCTTAAGTTGTTGTGTCACACCTTAGTCACGCCAGGCCTTGCACCGTTCGAGAGTTGGAAAAGCTGGTTTTTGGCAACAACCAGACCTTTGTTCGTGAATGTCCAGCCCTCTGTTGACAAAGAAATCGAGAGGTCAAATAAACTTTGAGCTACAATAAAGCATCCACCGCTACTGTTGTTACTTTTTTCTGGCTCGTAACAATCAATTAAAAATGCAACTTACTGAATTGCTCGATTTGTCGCACAGCTTTTATAAATTGCATCTTGTTGGAGAACTGATTGAGTTTAATATCAAGATAAGCGTCCGTGCTGTAAGAGATGACACCCATCTGCAATCCGTTTGGACCAAAGTTGGTAAAGCCATTTGCCAGATCTACAATGAAGTCTTTTTCTTTGGTAAAATCATTGTCACTGATGCTTCCTGATTCGTCCATTAAGATGCCCACTTCTCCCTTACAACCTACGATTCCAAGTGCATATTTAGAATTTAAAGGAAACCGCGTCGTTTAAACCCTATCATATCATTATGGTCCCACTCGTCGATGAGTTCTCTGTATTTCTGTTTTCACTTTGACTAAAGGATTAAAGCACAGATAAAGAAGGCGTTTTTATCAAAACACATGAACCAACAATATTTACTTACAGGAAACATATAGGGAATGGACTTCGGGTTTGGGGCATGATGTCTGCACACCTTTGCAGCTGGGTCGGTTAATGATGGATTGCGTGACTTTGCTGGAACGCTGTCGCGTCATTCTACCACAGGTGGACGACCAGCTGCCCCATGAATTCCAAGAACATGTCACAGTAACGCAAGGACCTGCCAAGTGTAGTGTTAAGCCCGTTCAGAGTTCAAACCTTTCATATCATCTCACAAGCACATAACAGAGGTTATGTGCTCTTATATCAAAGTGTCACGGCGTTTGTTCTCAGTTTTTTTATCTTTAAAAGAAGTTCACCATGAAATTAGACTAGACTTAGTTTTACTTTAACTATTTCATTCTCTCTCCTTACACCTTTCTCCGCAACTCCTAAAATGACTCCACATATTACGGCGACGGTAATTTGTGATTACTTTCATGTTGTAACTGACAATGAAATTTATGAAGTGACATTATTCACTTCCTCAAATCAGCCGGTCAAATCTACTAACTATGGTCAAATTGGAAGAACTCTTCATACGATACTCAGAATCCTACACGTATTTTGATTGGTTCTTACTTATGATTTTATAGAGGACAGATTAAATTGATAATGTCACCATTAACAACATTTTGTTTTTCAATCATATAAAACAAGTAGAGTCCCTGCTGCCGTGGCTCTGTTCTGTAGTAGATGACAGAAGGGTCCAAATGGGGCAAGAACATCAATGATTCGGCTGCGCTTCGTGTTTCACTTTTTCGTTCTTGCCACGTTTTGACATCATGTACGATCTAGTACTGAACAGACACGCGACAACATGGAGTATATTTGTTAACCCTTAAATTCCCAAGATCTGATTATGAATTCTCCCCTCTAGCTGCTACACATTTTCTTGTAAATTAGTTACGAGAAGTTGGTGTTCAATTAAGGTAACAATTTCTACCTGATGAGTTTTAATATTCTCGTCACCCGTTTACTGAATAATGTATGGGTATTAAAGTGGAGAAGTTACAAGTTAATCACTTCTGGGAGTTTAAGGGTTAAATAAATGAAATACAATAGACCACTTTCATAAATGGCTGCTGGATTAATATTTTTTTGTTTAAATTTAAACTTGCCTAGGTGGCCTCGTTCTCCACTACAAAATTCAAAAGAACACATTATCTAAAGCGAGACCACCTAGGCAAATTTAACTTTAAACAGAAGAACATTAATCCGGCAGCCATTTATGAAAGTGCTCTATTAAGCGCTTAACTTACAGTTGGTAGTCTTTTGTTCAGCCAGTTGTCTATCGCACGTGACTTTCAGCCCTGAGCAACCTCCCTGTCTCTTGATGTAATGTTCATTGACTTTGCTTAATGTTCGGGTGCGTCGCATGGCGACACCACAACTAGCAGACCATGCACTCCACTGTCTGTAATCACAGGTCACGTAACGACAATTATACGCTGCAAAACAAACAATGGAACAGAAACTCAGCATTTTTACTATTCCTTCACACTCGTAATACAAATTCGCCGACTGCGTCAAGTCTAATCCGACCTGTGCAAACCTCCTTGCTAATTCACACAAAAGATGAGATGTTCATTGCCTTGTCACGAGCGTGGGTAAAAAAGAATAATCCTGAGTCCTTTTGAGAAATCGATGCACAGACTTCCCATTCCGTGCTCCCATGTTCTACCAATGAGTTACCGAAACTGCAAGGTGAGCTAAACCAGTTCTAGGATTATATCTGACACGCGCCCTGCATACAGCATTGCGGACGTTTCGCCTGAGTCGTGACGCTAGAAACCAGTGCGCCAACGTCTTAGGTCGTTTCGTCAATCAATGTCTCAGTTCAGTTCGCTAACGTCCTATATGTTGTTTCTCTAACGCTTCGGGTTATTGAAATGGTCTCTTTTTAGCTTTGTTTTCAGTTTTTAATGAAACGACTCAACTCCCCCACGACTTTTCAGTAGATTAGAAGTCGATCAAGTTTTTTTTTTTCCGATGGAATCACTAAACGTTTTGTAATACGTTAGGGAAACGACCGATGGCTTAAGCAAACTGCACTAAGAAGTTGGCGAAACGACCTGGAACGTTAGTGAAATGGCCGTTAACGAAACGACTCGTTAGCAAAACGACCGATTAATTACCTACAAACCGCTAAGATCAACAACTTCGAAACTGTCATGTCCACACGTGAATAGACACGGAACGTGAGAAAAAAACTCACTTGAACATGATGACGATGTAATGGAGCCGATCAGATTTCTCAACTGTTCCATGTTCTGAACGGAGAACACGTGTGTAGAAGAAGGAGACGACGCCATAAACTTCAGTTCGTTTGCATTTGTTCCACGTCCCACACCGATAGAGATGATGTTCACTGAGTCGTCCTTAAGTTTCTTGATTGGATCTCTTATAGTGGCCATTCCTCCCGTACTCTGGCCGTCTGTGATGATCACTAATACCTATAATAATGGGAATTTTGTATAAATTTCGGTATCTGAGCAACTGCGTACCTACCCCTCCCCTAAGCTAACAACAGTCAGCTTATAACTAGTTAGGGTTAATGTTGGGTTAGGGGAAGGGTGGGTGCGCAGTTGCTCAGATAGCTTAGGGTTGGGGTTGTACTCTGGCCGTCTGTGAAGATCCCTAATACCTATAATGACGAGAATTTTGTATCACTGTCAGTGTCTGTGCGGTTCTAGATCACAACATTTTTCTTTTTTTTTTTTAAATAAAACAAATCGATTGCATGTTACCGTGTGTCTATTCTGCAATAGCTCATAGAAGATGTCAAAATGTGGTAAAAATATCAGTGACGCAATCAGCTGCGCCTCGTATGCGAATGTGTTGTTATAACATAACTAAAGTAAAGCGCGCGCTCTGAATGGTCAATTCAGCGTCCACCATTTGCCCATGGGTGTAAGCTGCTGACGTGAGCAAATGTAAAGACTAGTTTTCCCCGCGCGTTTGTTTTTTCTGGTCACGTAAGATTTGTTAAATAAAAGAAAACTCTTTTGCTACATTGTATCAATGTTATGTTATAAAACGAATGGTAAACGCCACAGTGTACCGCTATTGAGCTATGGATGCGCTTGGGAGGCTTGCCAAGCACTCAAGAAGCTAGAGTCGCTCTCGGCTATCGCCTCCCGCCTCCCGCGATTCTTACGCTTCTTTCGTGCTTAGCAACCTCCCGCGTGCATCCATAACTCATCCATAATGAACGCTGTGGTGTTTACCATTTGTTAATTCTTACCACGTTTTGATTGTCAACTATGATCCGGAACTGAACAAAAGCACAGAAGCATGGAATCTATGGAATCTGGTTATAACTTGTGATCTTCTACTATATACCTTGCGAATTTTCTTTCGTCAAATGCGAGTAATTTTCTTAACCACAAAAAGCCTGAATTTCCAGAAAAATCTGATGATTCTCGCAAACTACCGACGTTTCGACGGATTGCAAAGATTGCCGCATGTTGTGCAAAGCAGCGCCAAATCTGAGGGTCGTCTTGAAACTTGAAACAAGACCTTTTAAACTATCATCATTATCATTATTACAATTATCAGTGTTAATTATTTAATTATCATTGTCTAGACAAAGGAGACAGAAATTTATAGCTACCCTTGCAACATTTCCCCGTGCACCTTTGGAAGAAGTGAACAGTTGAGAGTAAGCAAGTTTTAAGGCTTTTCCAGTGTATGTCCATCCACCTAGAAAATAACAAAAAAATGTTTAAAACAATTGAATTCAGGTCAGAATTGTTCTTAACTGGTTGATTACTTGTTTCCTTCATTTAAAAATTGTGATAATTCACTTTGATCGAAAAGAAAATACTCATTTATCTTGATCTGCACAACAACCTTCATCCCATTCATTAATTCTTTCTGCACTCCCAAGATTTCTCTAGTAATTCTCCATACCTTCTAGGATACATTGCTTATAATTTTAGTTCTGAGAATTTAATATTGGATCAAATGATAATCCCTGAATTTATATTCTTTTACATTCTCATCACTTGTCTGCTGGACATTGTTTCGATATTGTGAGGAGGAAGCATGTTTTGAAAACTGCCGAGAGTGATGCATGTCAATGCATTGTGTCTCAATCCTATGCTGTTTCACACATGGTTGTCCAGGGTTAACTTGTGCATTTGAGGCTTAATAATGAAGTACTCATCAGCAAAATCCAGTACCTTGATATTTTATGTTATTGACTCCACTCTGAAAGGATGAAACAGAGCTGTACTTATTAAGCATGATATCAAGTTGTGCATGGGTGCTGAAGGTGATGACACCAAACTGAGTGGCTCTAGGGCCGACTTGAAAGTGACCAGCCAGACTTTTGACAAAGTTCTTCTCCCGCTCAAACTCAGGTGCCTTGACGCTACCAGATTCATCCATCAAAATACCAATATCAACCTTGCAAACTGAAAAAGATCTTCCTTTGTTAAACTCTAGATGACTTGAAATGATAGGAAATTCAAAATCTTTTTGTTCACCTTGATTTCAGAAAACTTAACTAAATTTCTGAAGGATGAATTTGAAAAAGCCCATTTGAATACTGATCAAACTGTTCACATTCACAACCTATCATAACAAAATTTGTACTTTGTTAGGAAAATTAATTGTACCAGACAAAAAGAGTTATGACTTAATTCAGTTAGATTTAAAATTTCATGACATAGAAAATTTGTCTGCACTATTTCTTACCCTTTATACACCCATAGAGCTCCATTCTTAATGATATGTGCCCATTCCATGATCTGGGATGAAGTCGCAGAAAGCGACCTTCAATGCTAGGTGAAATGGTGTGTTTAACAACAGAATTTCGGTCTGTATTTCCACCAAATACCTGGAAAGGTTAGAAAAGAAATGACACTTTCCTTTTTTATTCAACCCAGGCCAAAGATGATAAGTGCAATAACTAAAATAACATCATTTTTATTTAAAGATTTAAACAAATTTACAAAAATTTTCCATATTGCCTGTTAGCCATTGGAAATAAAAAAGATCTTCATGTACTATGACAAGTTCTGGGCTAAATTCAGGTACTTTGCCCTATTTTTCATTCAGACATGAAAAATTTTCTTGTTTTACTTTACGCAATTCTCCTACTGTTTCATTTCTTCATAAAAACCCTGTTTCATGGATAGAATTTTTCCACCTGTTGCTAAAGCAAAATTATAGACATCTTTATTTATACAGAATAGCCCCTTCAGTGTAGTAAACACTGGTATCAACGGGGGTTCTATTAACCACCCATCCCACCCCAAGGGAGGACATCCATCACACAGTAATCTCGTGTGTGGGAAATTAATGCTTCCTGCCCCTAACCCTGCTGGAGACGAGACCTCCATTTATTCGTCCCTATCCGAGAAGAATAGAATATCTAACCATTTCTTGATGTTATAGAAAGGTAGCATATTCTTCTCAATTATTTTTAGACCCTGAGCGTTGGTCCGGCCGGGGCTCGAACCCTCGACCTCCCACACAACAGTCCAGCGGTCTATCCATTGAGCTAACCGGGAGGCGGTTACCTCAATGTAGCTCAATATAGTGATGTAAAATATCATAAAAAATTTCTTTTCTAGGTGATGAGCTAATCCAGTGATTATTATTTTAACCCTTTACGTCCTAGCATCAGTAGGCATACTCTACAGAATGTTCTCCATACTTAGTTCTTATTAACCGAGCGGGAGGTCTGTATGGGAGAATCTTGACCGAGGTCGCCAGTACAGACCGAAC